GATGAAAACCAGCTTTAAGCAACGGCGTAGTCGAACGGTGTAAGTAATCCTACAATTTTTTGTTTATAGCATAGTTTATACAGATTATTCCCAAAAAATTATACGTATTTTGGAAATGTTGAGTGGAATTAGTCTAGAATCGGTTAATTTTATAGAAGAAAACCTTTCGAACAGCCTTAGTCCGTAAAGTTCCCACCTATCGGGCTGCGATTGGCTCATTCCTACAACGTAATTTTCGGTTAGCGTGGAACGTATCTAAGCGTTATGGGGGGGTCTACTGTATGTCCAAATGTCTATCAGTCGGCAGTCACAGAAGCATTCAGTGTATACATACAGTGGTATCTGCTTATTGCAATGATTTTAAGATGTGGCTGTAATAATAACAATGTTCAACCAATAGTATTAAATGAAAAAAGTACATAATTTCACTAATTGTAATTTTATTTTTGACTTTGTTCCAAAAGCACTAAGAGGGCCTTTTTAAACACACAGTAGATTTGATTAGTCTCATAATCAGAGCAGCTAAATAGTGAGGGATGAATCTGAAAAATCCAAAAACACACTAGTCATAGAAAAAAAATCCTGGACTTGCTTGTCCAGATTTGATCCAAAGTCCCTCAGAGTGGTATGCCTTAACAACCTCATCCGCAGGCCATCAAATTCTGGGGGTTTATCGACTAACATTAAAAGGATAAGTTGAAACTAATTAAAAAAATTAATGAATCTTTTTTAAAGTTATACATTATGATTAATAGCAAATTCTTCCAGCACATAATTAAAGTAAGAAACACTGACAATTCAAACTACTGTGCCAAGAACAAAAAAGCTAAAAAAATGATTAAAGTGTGAGATTGGTGGTGGTAAACTCTCAATCACTAAACAAGATGGAAATTTCTAATTGTTTTTGAAAGATTGTCAAGATCTTTCCAAACGTCAGGTGCCCGACACCAGTTAGGATAATTAAATATATTGTGTCCTAACTCACGACTACAGTAGAGCGTTGATTTTCCGAAAGTCAATCATCCGAAAGAATTCCAGTCGGCAAATTTAAATTTTTGCCAGTGCTGTGGCGCTTCAATCTTTGGCTATGTCTTATGCTACTCAAATATTTTACGTTTTTGATACTAAATTCACATCTGAAGTATATTTTTTTTATTGTTTTTATATTTTTCAATACATTTATTTTGTTTGTACAAAATAAAAAATAATTTTTAACAATACAATAGTCTTTGTTAGGCTTAACATCGACGAAAATTCAACGCAAAGTGACACGCAACGGAGAAAAATTTCAACATCGGATACGTTAAACTATTTTTTCGTACATAAATCGGTTATCCGAAATATCAGTTATATGAACAACCCCAGTCCCCAATTGATTCGGAAAATCAACACTCTACTGTATATCAGTTATTCAACATCCAAGTGGCACTTAATTTAAGGGGAGCTAAAAGTTCGTCAATGGAGTTAGACCATATTAAAATTTAAAGAAAAAAAAAAAAGATCAATTTCAAAACATTTTTTATTAATAATAAAAAATCGGGATTACTTTTATTTATATAGAAAATTAACTTATTATACACAGAGTTAACAAATAATACTAAGAACGAAACAAGTAAATAAAATACGAAAATCTCAACCCTATGCAACTTTTTCGAAAGAGAGAGAGTTTAAAATAATAATCAATTTTCATTACCTTCTGAAATTCTAATATTAATCTTGTGGGCTTAGTAGTAGGTTTCAGTGAGAATTTAGGACTAATGACAAACAATCTGGATTAACTTGTAGAACTTTGAAAAGCTTGGGAACACCAAAAAATCTCTCGAGAGAACTCAAGAAGGAACATTGAGAAAGAACTATGAAAAGAACAGAATCTGAAAAGAGAGAGAGAACTGACAGACACAAGTTTCTAAGGATGTTCTCTCCTTTTATACCCAAAATCTCCTCCAATAATGGTTACTTTTGATCACCATGTGAAGGGAACCAGGTGAATCTCGCCACATGTCAACAAATTTCGAGTTAAGCATCGTTATCAAGGGAAGCAATCTAACCTTGGTAAAACAGAAAGGAAGTCCTCTTTCCCTCATTCACTTTACTTTTGAAATTTAGTTAATTTTAATGACCATTGTAAAAAATTATTTTCTCAACATCTTTAATTTTACTTTAATTCTTAATCTCTTTTTAAAATAAGGAATCATCTGACTATAACTTCTAGATTTAATATTACTCGTACCAATTTTGGCAAATAATTTTCAGATTCTCACAAAAATAATAATTGGATGTTACCAGCTATGTATTGAAGCTAATATGAAAAGAAAGCTATAAAAAACAAATTTACCCAAATGTAATGATCTCTTGTTTTAAAAACCAGAATTTGATAATAGTTAACATTATAAATATATTGTAACTTATATAGAAACACTAATTGTGATGACATCAGATGACTTAATGATATCTATAATTACAATAACTAGAATCCACTGTAAATATAAAAACAAAAACAATCATTTACAGGTTATTTTTAATTATGTATTTATAATAACTAAATTTAATTTTTGGAATAACTCTTGTTAATTATAATATTTTAATGACTATTTCTGTATTAAAAAAGAAGTCATTTAAAAATACTTAAAGAGAAAAATTAATGCAATTTGACTTACATCACAGATATAATGAGCTTCGTCAACTCCATACTTTTCTTTGAAGTATTCAAGAGTATGCAGTCTTAAATAAAAACAAATCAAAACATTCATTTCTGAATAACATTTTAAGCATATTTAAGAATTACATTGTTAAAAAATTACTGGAACTTTTACATTCAACCCACAACACTTCAAGAGTTGCATCTCACAATGTGCTGTGATATTTTGCGGTGCAAATTACAATAACTTACAAAACAACACATGGAGTTATGATGAAGTAATATGTAAGTGTATTTTTGACATCTGGAGTAATACATAAACACACAAAACAAAAAATTAGCTTTTGTCCTTTTATTTTTCAATTTTGAGTTTTGAAGGATGTCATTTAAGTAGGAATTTTTAATGTACACTAAATTTAGCAAGTATCCTTTATTTAAACTGTCATTCAACCACTATTAAGTACATGTTTTAACATAATAATACAATTATGTACTACTATTTAATTTTCTTATTTTTAAATAAACATTTTGGGCTAATTTTTTACAAAAATTTATTTCAAGTGTGCTTTATAGTAAATTAATTAAAGAAAAAGCACAGTACTTAACAAATTTTCAAAAAATTATAACTATGGTTAAATTCAAATAAATTTGCCTCAAAATGATGCCGTGCAATGCGGTGCACTGTGAGGAACATGCCACGCAAACACGGAATGCAATGCGAAACATGACTGGCAATGCACCATGCAAGGGCTAAACTTAAAAGTTTTGAATTATTAATAAACTAGCTGTGGCTCAAAATGTATCTATTATAAATGTATAACACTCCCTGTGGGAGGGAATTTTGAAAAATCCCTTCTTAGTGTACATTCTCTTGACGTACCCTATTAAAATGCAAAAAACTGCATCTAAAATAGTATAATAGAAGCTGAGTTCTTCACAGTAAGCCTTAATTTTGTCCCTCTCCCTCATTGGGGGAGGAATTTTGACATCTATATAATATACAAGTGCACCGCATATCTTGCTGACCACACAACTGTGCCGTGTGGTTACCTATCTCGTATATGTACGCGTCTTGCCTCTCGCAACCCACTGATACCAAAAATATAACACTTACCTAGATTATTCATTCATATCTTTTAATTTATATGAATGTTTAACGGAATAATATACAGCCTATGTCCATCCTGAAAGTCCATTTTAAATATTGGTGAAAAAATTTTTGAAATCAGATGAGTAGTTTCGCAGATTACCTCCTACATCCAAACTTACAAACTTTACCTCTTTATAATATTAGTATAAAGTTTTAAATGCACAATAAATCGTAAGTTCAAAATAAACTTTTGAAATAAACTTTACAGAAGTTATTAATTACATTCTCGATTATAAAGATGTTTTTCCATAAAATTAATGTAAAGCTAAATGAAAAAAAAAAATTATGAAGTTCAACATACTCTTCAACATATAAAGATGTTACCAATATAAAAAAATAAAATTTTAATTTTTATGAAAATATTCTTTTAAGCAAAGAGAAATATGCATTCTCAAGAATTCAAAAAGTTTAATGAGTTTAATCCAAAAGAATAAAATCATGAATGAAATATCTTATTCAGACACTAAAAAGGCAATACGTATTTGTCTTGTCCTATATTATGTAATAATGAAAATGTACTGAATTATTTTCTTACTTTCCCATCCAAATGGCGTAAGATTCAGGAAGTTTAGGGACGAATATATAAGATTTTCCAGTTTTTACATCAATGGCGCCGTAACAATCTGGTTCCAAGACTCCAAAAGCCCAATGAAAAAAGGATTCCTGTATAAAATTTTAAAAAATTATGTAAAATGCACAAAGCCAAATACCTACATGTTAATTATTTATTTTTTTTACGTAACTAAATAAAATATTTTCATCTCGCCCATTTACTTTCAATTCATGTAAGTAGGTCAACTACCAATTTTCCAACATGTCTGGTTATAAAACTTTGATCTAACATGACTGGGAACATGTGATTACTCAATAGTACATCCCGAACCACTAATTATATGCCCGCCATATCTCACATATTACAGACTGATGCAAGTATGAATACATTTTATTTTAGAAGCTGCCAATTCGGTTAAATTAAGTAAAATGAGATAAAAATTCCACAGAAAGGGAGGAATTGCTAACAAATGTTATATAGACAATTTGAGAAAACATCAGAAATACACCATGTGCAATGCCATCTGCAATCTGTTGCTGAACAAGTACACAGCTTTGTCAATTTTAAGTTACCTCTTGTAATTTGTAAAGATTAAGAAAGATGCCAAAACATTATTTGCTAGCAAACTGAAACTAAATCTCTAGTTTCAAAATAAAAATTTATTTAAAAATCAATAATAATAATATTCATCTTTAAATTTTACCTGACGGAAGACGTCCTCCACGTCGGAACAGTAGCGCGTGGTTGACTCTCCGCCCTGCAAAAGCACGACAGACTTTTTGGGAACATCATTCTTTTTTCTCAGTCGCTCACAAAGTCGTTGACGATTTAGGGAATGAAGAGCAACCGGTACAGTTAACGTGTGCTCTCCCAAACAAAATGCTGCCCTGGAATGGAAAGTAAAATATTTATGTTTGAAAGTATACAATTACGTAAGATATTTGAGAGAATATATGAAGCTTTATGCAATTTTCATTATAGAATTTACAGTATTTAAATATTAAAAAAATATCCTTACTTTTATTGTAATTCTATATTTTTATATATACTTTTCTTTAAGCACTGAAACATGCTAAGAAACTTGCATATCATATAATTTAAATGTTATGGAATTTTGTATCAATAAAATTAATATTTAATGGTGCATTTCATGTATGCTTTCATGTATTCATAAAGTTTCATGTATGCTTTCAAATAAATTAAAATCAATCCCCTTTACCAGTGTGTGATGTTTAAAAAACACTGATGTTTTTAACCCCATTAATAGGCCACCTTCTGGTGTGGACTGTGAAAGTAAATTCAACCTTCAACTGAAAATGGTCCATTAACAAGGTTGAAAACATTGGTTTTCTTTAAACACCACATACTGGTAAAAGGTGAATTGATTAATTCAGTTTAGTAACTATGGTGGCTAGTTCTACCTTATGCATGCTTACAGATTTACAAATTTACTTATTTACAAATAAAGCTTTTCCTATTTACAAAACAAACATTTATGCAAGTAGATATGCAATAAAATTTTTATAGTGCTTATATAGTCAGGTGTTTTCCTAGCCCAGTTTACTTGGTCAACCTTATTTCTCCATTTCTCAAACTGCTGTGAGATATGTTTACCAAAGGGTGTTTTTTTTTTTTTTTGGATTACAGAGACGGATTTACATTGAAATATACCATATAGAAAGCCGATTATATATGAAAACCTTATTTCTATTTGGCCTGTAATGACAGTTCTGATGTTTGAGTCCCACATGCAATGATTAAACTGAGGGCAAATAGAGTAAGACTGCTGATTAAAACACACTTCATTTGGATGTTGATTTTATCTTTATATTGATATTGTGCCTACAAATTATGTAGAGCATTTCTGTTTAAATTGATTTGGATATTTCTGTTCAAATTTTATTCAGAGTGTTTCAAAACAAACTTCAAGCACCTTGGTAAATTTTTTGAAACAAAATATTTAAATTTACAAAAAAGGCTAATACAAAAACATTTTGAAATCTTCTATACATCCCTTCCTAACTGTTGGAACACAAATTGACAACAGTGGAGGCAACTTTCCTTCATAGGATCATCTTCACCTACATACTGTTTGTGCTGTTAGTTTGAAAGTTCTTTGGGTATCAGACACTTATTTTTACAAGAAAAATTTTACAAGCATCTGATACCAGAGAAACTCAAAACACTTGCATATAAATACACAGAGAAGAACCTACATAGAAAGGCAATTCTGCTAGTGTTTAATGTGTTCCAACAATTAGAAAAAGCAATATGTAGAAGACTTCAAAATCATTTTAAACATTAAATTTAAAGTGTAAACTATTTAAACTCACTTATTTCTGTCATGAAATCTGTTTTTTTGCTGCATTTGACTTTAATTTTTTTGTATTTTATGCAAAATTTTTATTCTAAAAATAGAGTACTACAAGAGTAAAGTTTCCAGTTCTCACATTTATCATAATCTTATTTGCTAAGTATTGCTTGATGTATACCATCTTGGGCTCTCATATTATATACCTTTTGAAAGACTAATCAAATTATTATAAAAACACTGAATTAACTTTGTCTTACCAAACACCATTTTATCAATTTTAATAAGTTAATGGTTATAACAGATAATAGAAATGTCATCAAATTTTGGAAGTCTATAAACACTGTACTGTCTACAATGCATGCAAGGTTAATACAATGTATACAGGTCAAGCTTTTATAAAATCATATACAGTGTCTTCCGAAAGAAGACAGTCATTTTAAAATGGTATTGGTTATGTTAATCATTATTATCCGAAAAGTATGTGATGTGTACACCAATTTATAGAGTAACCGTCCAAATTTCATCTGCATTCAAAATGTGTTGTCTACTATATCTAGGAAGAGCTATAAATGAAAATGGTGACAGTGAAGCAGAGAAGGCATTTTGCATTCTGCAATTCATAAGATTGGAACCAGTCATTGTGCAATATGAGTTACACAGACAATTTCAAAGTGGTGCACTCTCTAAGACAAACATTCTTCTGTGGTATTGACATTCCACATTCCCAGGAGAAAGGATGCTTTTGCAACTGGAAAAGTGGACAGCCTTGAATGTCAGAGGAAAGTGAAAATAAAATCGAAAGTTGATATTTCATCTTGATAATCACCAAAGAATGTTGGTCTTACATGATAGACTTTTTGGAAGACCGTGTATATAGAACCTAATTTAGAGCTCAGAATTAGTAAGAAGCCACTCTGATATGCGAAATTAATTGGAGAAAAATAGCCAAGAATAGTTCAAGTTTCACTACAGATCATTTTTCCCTCTAAGTTGGTAACAAAAGAAAAGCTAACAAAGATAAATAAAAATCAATCCGATTTTCTGAAGTTCATCTTTATTTACAAATTGCTCTCTAGCACGTTTGAACGACCAGGGTCTGTTGTCGGGATATGTACGATGACTCAGATGCCCAGAAGTGCCAGTGAGAAATTTATAAATAATGTTTTGCTGGACTTTACGTTTTTTGTTATTTTAAAAGAACTTTGAGCTGTTTTCACATTAATCAAATGAAAAACTTTTTTACTTTAATTCTTTTACTTATTAAATTGCTTGTTAACTTAAAAAAAACTAGTTAAAAACTAACTTAGACTAAACTAAGTTAGTTTAGTCTAAGTTACTAAACTAAGCCTTAAACTAAAATGATAATACCTTAAGAAAACATCATCAATGTAATAATATGATAAATAACTGTTCAAACAACATTATCATTTGTCTGTAGTTGATAAAATAGTAAAGTAACATTATATCAATGTATATCTCATAGTTGTCTTGCAATCTTTCTAAAGTTCAACAATTTGAAATTATTGAAGATAGTTTAATATAAATCTCGACTTTATATTGTATTTCAGGTATATCTTCCGACAAAGTTCGTATAACTTCAATTCCAATTAATGATTACTTTGCATTATTAATTTTTCCTAAGATTTATAATATTAAAATCAGCAAATTATTCCAGTTTAATAACTTATTTAATACTTAATGCAAAACAACAAAAATGTATTTAATTATTGCAAAAATGTTTTTGATTCACTAACACAAGGTGTGTTTCTATTTCAACACTTGGCATTTATTGCAACAATAAAATATTTATATATATTTACACAAAATTCTGTACATGTCTTTGTTCAAATGTAGATGGACTCAACAACCCGGCTGTTAATCACATGGACAGATGCCAAATTACAGAGCATACATTGTCCACTGCCTTTTGGTATATGGATTCAGTTTTGGAGGCAAGAGGGTATATAATACAGTTCTCTGACACACAATGAAACTTGAGCATACAAAAAAAAACGGGATCTGCAACATAATTCAGCTGATCCCCACATGAAGGAATGCACACACCTTGCCAAAGCCACACCTATGGGCAACGAACTCAATCTATTAACTTTCAGAACAGATTTTCAAAGGTGGAAGGGCAAATAACATGGCCCACTAACATGCAATACCATACACAGAAATGGAACTGGACTAAACAGGAAAATAGGATTTGTGACACGACTGACATTTTCATGCAAATAGAAGCATGTAAGTTATCATGCTAAAGGACATGCAGGATAATCGAGAGGCCGGATTAGCGAGAGTGCACCGTATTATAATAAATGTACGATAAATCATAAGAATTGTGTCGATAGGGCTTTAATTCCTCGACTTCAACAAATTATGCAAGATTTAAATTTAATTATCGTATACATCAGCACAATTTCTTCACTTATCTCCACTATGCAAATAATTTTAACGTAACATTAAATAATTAAAAAAATTAACTAATTAATTTTCGTATATAATACTTACTGAGCTTTTCCTAAACTCATAACTTCTTGCTTAAACGTGAAGAATCAGTCGTAAACTAGAATTCACCGTGGACGTAAACCTCGTGACAAATGTCACATGCGATACACCGGGAGCTTTCGTAAACTTGTTCTCTTACAGTGTTGCCATGCCGATTTGCTTGCCATCGGTAGATTCATTAGGCAATTTTCGGTATTTTTCGGTAAATCGACTTTTTGTGGCAGAAAGGAGATTGCACATAAACAATAACATTCTTTATCGTCATTTATTTTATTATACATTATAAAACAATAAAAAACAAAAAAACTAACACACAACACTTACGTAAAAAAATAATAATTTATTAATTAAGTAGGTACTGTATATTTTGTCGTATTTTTCTAACAAAATACAGTATTACCTTTTATTTTTCAGATATTAATAATAATAATTATTATTATTCAATATTTTCCGTTTGTATGTTTTAAACACTCTGTTTCTTATTTTTAAAATTAAATTATCTTTTACAGGAAAATCGTAACAGTAATTTTTATCCAATTAATTGTTTAGTAAAAAGTAAGCCGGTGATTGTTTCAAAGCTCAGTTTATTTCCGTGTTTCGTGTTTAACAGATTTATTTACGAAAATATTCTTTCTACATTAGCTGAAGAATGGGGCAGACCCAAGATATTCTCAACAAAACGAGACAGAATCTTTGCAATAAAGTCTCTTACAATATATAAGAAATGAAGGTACAAAGAAATGTTTTATTGAGAATTTTTAGATACATTGAAAATAAAAATTTTTTTCTTGAATTATCGTAAACTTTTCGGTAGATTTGGTGCTTCAATCGGTAGATCGGACCCAAAATCGGTAGATCTACCGAAAATTCGGTAGACGTGGCAACATTGTTCTCTTATACAGTAATTCGTATTACGAGATCTTATGTGTTTTCTCACCAGAGTAGCGGAAGTTTTAATAATTTTTTATTTTTTATTTTGATTGTTATTGTTTGTTAATATTAATATTTGTTAATAAAAAGTTATTTAAAAAATAAAATACTGTAACAATTTATCTCCTTGTATGATAATGATATATGTATATTTCTTAAAAACTCTTTCCACCCACTCTGAGCTAGGGTTGCCAACTCTCATTGCAATACTGATAAAAACATCGATTTGAAAAACGTGATGAATAAAAAAATCCTACAATGAAACTAGGGAACATTTCTTTCTCTTGATGATGATGATAATGATGATATAGTCGTGACTATGAAGGCGACAGCCTACTATTAAATAAAATTAATTTGTTTCCATCCAACTTTATTTTTATAAGCATACAATTATTCCGTAGAACTGAATTATCTTTATGGGGAATTCCCGTGAACTTTGACCTATCGACACAGAAATTTGGCCAGCACCTCACCAATAACGAGAAAGGCTTAACTTTAAAATTTGAGCTTTCTATACCCAGTACTTTTTTCTCTACGAGCGTCTGCAGTGCCAAATGAAGAAAAAAGAAAAAAGTACAGTAGAGCATCGATTATCCGAATGCCGATCAACCTAAAGCGTTCCAGTCGGTAAATTCAAATTTCTGCTAGTGCTGTGGCGTTGCAATATTTGGCGCGTTTTGGCTGGCAGCACTGGCTCGACCATACTGTATCGTAAAAATTATTTTTTTATTTTGCACAAACAAAATAAATATATTGAAAAATATAAAAACAAAAAAATTATATTTCGGAAGTTAATCTAGTATCAAAAACGTTCCGACATTCTTTTTCTTGGGTTTATCTGGAGATGTCAGCCTCTTGGGCTACATTCTCCGACGAGATGAAGCAAAAATCGCCATTCACGATGCAAGGTCTTAGAACAGTGTTTCCCAACGTGGGGCCCACGGCCCACGGGAGGGGACAATTGGATTGTTAAGGAGCAATTCGAAAATGGACTCGTCCAGAGTTTAACAGTATAGCCTCTGTATATGTTAGGGGGACATAAGAATTTTAGAAAGGCTTAGGTGGGGCATAGCACAAAAAAAGGTTGGGAAACACTGTCCTAGAATATAGCTCACGATGGGGGAACCTCGTTCAAATACTAGCGCGTCCTTAACTACCCTCTCGACATGTATGAATCGGAACATTTTTGATACTAGATTAACTTCCGAAATATAACTTTTTTTGTTTTTATATTTTTCAATATATTTATTTTGTTTGTGCAAAATAAAGAAATAATTTTTAACTATAGAATAGCCACGATTATTATTTTAAAAAATTTTCGTTAGGCTTAACATCGACGAAAATCCAACGCGAAGTGACACGCAACAGAGAAAAATTTTAACAGGGGATAGGTTAAGACTGTGTACACATTAGGCGTTGCGTTAAACGCGCATTAGCAGCGTACACACCGCGCGTTTAGCTCGGCGTTTGCACTGGCTCAGTTTGGAAATGGACATGAAAATAATTGCTTGTGTGTGCCTCCTCCATTGTCGCTATAAAAGACGATGGCAAAGGCAAAGGGAATTTTGGGTGCACCCAATATTACGAGATAGACTGATGCATGGAATGTTTGTTACGTTATATCCAAAACTAACTAATAAACTACAATATGAACCCAAGTTTTTAAATCTTTTAGAATATCTATAAAATGATTTGACGGTGGCTGGTCTCTTTTAGATTTCATCAATAAATAGATCAGTATCGAAATGATCGTTTTCCATTTCGGCCAACGTGCGTTCACTCTACCCGAAAACGCCCGATCGAATGTACTGTACAATAACATGGCAGCACATGTATCTCAAAGCGCGCGACTGACGTCCGCGAAACGCGCGTTCTAACCAAAATCTATCAACGCTCGTTTGACGCGAGCTTGGCCAGAAGCGCGCGTTTGAGTGTGTATATCTATGCGTAACTCTTGGTTCTTTAAAACGCGTCTTCTGGAGATTTCAGCTACTGTGTCGTGCTCTGAGCTCGGCATTTGGCTTGCGTCGACCAGGTAGTCGCCGCTGTTACCAGTGCAGCGAGTGGCATTCTTTCTGCTTTACTTGGCGTGTTGGAACATCCACAGCCACTACGGTGAGGATGTTTGCGTGCCGCTCGTGTTCTTTTCCCCTGAGATCCTTTGCTGTCTTCCCTCTACTCGCTTGTCTGAACCTTAGGATCAGTGCCACTTGGTGGATGACGGGTTCTCCCTATCTCCTTGTTTCCTTTCCTTCTGTTTTAGTACTGATTTAAAGTCATTGTTCTTCCCTTTCTTTTTTCTGTTGCTCTTTTTTGGTTTACATCGTTAGATCTTTTGGCTTCTACTGTTGAGGACGCCTTCTCTCTGCTGTCCTCCACCCCTACTACTCTGTAAGTGGCTGAGCAGGATTTTTTATCCTTCCTTTCTTAGACGTGCGTCAGGTATGGAGGTCCGTTACTGGAAGCGCATTGTCCTCCCGTTCCTTCTTGTCAGAAATGGTTCTCCGGAAGAGCCTCCCCGTAGTCCGTTTCCTGGACTTCGTTTTTCAATCGGCATTTTTGTCTGTCGCGGTTTATCTGTAGTAGACCAGCCGCCTGTTGCCTATCTGTCTATCCTTGCCCGTTACTGTGTTTGCGCCCTTTGCTTCCTAGTGCTGAGAGTGCCGTCTATTTAATTACTTACTTGTCTCTGGTAACGTGCTGCGCAACTGACTGTTAAGTTTAGTACCTATATAGATGTTAAGTTATTCAGACACCATGAATTATTTTCTTCTAGTAATAAATACAAACACGTACTTTTTAGGTGAGTCAAACAAAATAGATTTAGCTACTATAAATAGAATATTATACTAATTCCTTCCTACTGCTAACATTCTATCTTTGCTGTTTGAATCCTTTTTGTCTTACTCATAAAATATGCTAAATTTCTTTTCCTTTCATACACAATAACCCAACTAATCTGCAATTAAGTAACTTTCAAAACTAAGAATAACAAATTATTCAAATAATCCAAGAAAAACTCTTCACTCCTTGTGAGTTATTCGAACACTCTGTTAAAATTACATTTTTGTCACATACGCAACTTTTCTATTTTCTTTTAAATACTAGTTTTTTTCTTTTGTATTGTTACTAATATACGCTGTTATGACTCTTCTGGGCTAATTTTAGCAGGGGAAAAATTTTATTTGTCCGATTGTCTGTTATTTTATTTAATATCTGTATTTAGTATTACGTTAGTTAGTGAGCTTATTGTTGCCTCCTTCAGACTGTCCAGGCCTTGCTTTTCTTTCTTCTTTAAGGTCAGGCTCGCCCCTATCTGGTGAGTGGCTCCTTCTTATTTGTTTTTTTAGCAGTAGATTAGAAAAAAATTGTGTTGTGTATGTTTATGTTTTGTGTTTTTATGTGTCATTTTAATAATAGCTAGTCTGTAAGTCTCCTCTGTTATAAATAGTTTTCTGAGTATAGGACATATAAACTTTACTTCCCAGTTATTCAGGATCCAACAGTAGTAAATAAGCAACTATTCTAACATAATTTAACTAACACATTCTACTTTGGCCTTTCTCTTGGCCATAATAAAATAATTCAAAATTTTAAATCTGGAATAGTAGGTCTAAGAAGAAGTTAAGCGCATTGCTCTCCAGGCAATGAGCATCTTTTGAACCTTCATCAATTTCACTCCAGTATACTGTCCTTCCATGCCAAATTGTTCCAGCCAGGGTTGGCATGATTAAAAAAAATGTTTTAAAACATTTATTAAAACATGTTTTAAAATATAGGCATTGGATTTGAAACATTTTTTTAAAACAAATGTTTTAAAACATTTAAAACTTGTTTTTTGGTTTTGGAAATAAAACACTTGATCTAGTAAAATAGAAAAAGAAAAAAAAAACAGAAAATTGTTAGTGTAAGACTCAAGAATGTACAGAATGTTTTATTTAATATAAAATATAGCATTTTTAAATGTTTCTTTATGTAATGGCATTTTTAAGATTTGCATGTACAAATACCAAAACAGGATTGACAGCAGTGGCTTCTGCAGCTTGAAGAATTTCTTATTTTCAGAATGTACAACGCTCAGTAGTGTTTGTTTAGGTGCTTGAAAATTTTAACAAGCTTTGCTGTCTTTTCCTGTCCAAGTCGATTTCTAAATTTTGAATGAACAAGTCCATAGGTAGAGAAAATTCTTTCAATTCCCGTTGAAGAAGCCACTGCTGTGTGCAGTTGTGTAACTAATTTTAAAACAGGTTCATCAATTCTGTCACGTAATGACTGCCACCATGTAAGAGGAGTGATATTAGGTAACACAGACTCTGCAAACATGTGTTGCAGAAATGGGCTAGATTTTGCCAAGTATTTTAAAACTGAAGGCATAGTGTATGTTTTAAAATACGTATTTTAAACTAGCTTTGCTTACAGCAATACTAGTTCCACTACATTATTATTCTAAATTTTATTTTAAATTTTTTGGAGCTTTTTGTCGTTGAATTCTCTATTGCTGCTTCTACGTTTCCTCTGCATAACTGCAAAATCGAAGAATTTGGTTTATTTGGGTCAAGTTTCTAACACTTGACTTTTCTATCATTCTTATTTTCTGCTTGGTAAAATGGGAACGGTAAGTATATAAGCATCAATATTATAAATGACACATAATAAAGTTTGCAGACGACATAAAACACGTAATTTATGAGCCCTTCACAAATGGACATTATGAGCATCACATAGGACTAGTAGAAAGTAAACAAGCTATCATACATACTACCCCTGGGCTTTTTAGTGTTTTTAGTGCGGAAAAAGGCCCATTCCACAGTACTGCAATCATCTGATAAAAAATACGCCCCTCAAACGTTCATCTTGCTCGATTTTCCCGGATTAAAATAAGAGGTTAATGGGACAACTAGAAAGTCCGATTATTTTCAATTATTCTAGAATATAAAATTTAATTAATAACTTTAACGACGGCTGGATGGCCGAGCGGTCAAGGTGGCAGCTTACTGCTCTGGGGAACTTGGGATCGGATCCGGACGGGCCAAGAAATCCCCAGGAATTTTTCGGGGGGGTTGGTCCGTTCGGATACGTCGGGCCCCATCCCTCACCATCCGGTCACCCCATTGTAGGTCTGGCCGAACCCTTAACGGGCCTGTTATAGGACGTCCTCCTAGTGCCCACAGGGTGGAAAGAGTATATATATATACAAAAAAAACTCAAAGTAAAAATTGTTTGTGACGTCATCTGTTTACGTGATGTTATAAAAAGTAACTTTTACATATATTATAAAGTGGTAAAAAGCCTAGTTTTGAGGATAGAAATAAGTTTTATTAAAAAGAAAAATATAAATGCTAATAACGAGTAAAAATAATCATTAAGTTCGTCCTCACTCGAGATACCACACACGAGCCCTGTCATCGAACTTTAACCATGAAAATTTAATAGCATCAATGCCCCCGATAGGCAAACCTCCCTGCAGAATTTAAGAAAATTTCGACAAAAGGCATGAGAGTTATTAAGTTTTGAAGTGGACGGACAAGATGTAAGTTACATCACAAAACAAAGTTTCTTTTGTTTTGTGATGTAACTTACAAAAAGCTTAGCTCTTGGCTTATGTGCAACCGAAAAACCGAACAAAAACCAAGCACGGGCTTAACAATCTTACAATTGAGATACAAAATTGTTTTTATATTATATTCCTTTATTTATAATCGAAAAATTACAAGTGAATTTGAACTGTACAGTACATACATTGATATTTTAATTGTGATTTTATATTCAGTAAAATTAATAAAAATTCTCTCAAAAATTATACTGAACACCCAAATACTAAACAGTTTCTAAAGTAGAGTGCAGGAGTGTCAATAGTATAGCAAATACATCTATTATCTCTCCAATTATTTTTTCCAGGACAGGTTGCACTACTGTCAAAATTTCCACGAAAAACTGATAAAGAACGTCGACAAACTCTTCTATAATAAATTCGACGACTTTCCAAATATCAGTATCATCATCGTCTTTGACTACTTCGGTCTGTAAAATAAATCGATTGTAGAAATATCACTAAAATAAAACGCAAGGAAACTAAATTTTTGTATTTCAAAACGTTAAACATTGAAATTAATTACAAACTCGTTTAATTATAATTGAAGGGATTTCCAATTAACTAATTAGCCAATCGATGACTGCTATCGATTATTCTAATTTATGATTGTAAACACTTACCAAGCCCTTTCCTTCAACTGCCACAAATAGCAAAATACCTATAAAGAAGTATTGAATTTAACATACTTTTCCACACAAATAAAAAATAAAAAAAATTTAATTGTAATTTGCAGTTTATGTTAATTAAATAGGGCAATATATAATTACCCTGTATAATTATTAACATAAATTACCGCGTAAAATATCTTTTCCTATAAATTTTCATTTTATTTTTCTTCAAGAATGAATTAATTGTTCATGTATTAACAATAAAAATGATTGGGATTTTGGTGAATAAATCACGATATTTTATAAGGGTCCGTTCATTAATTCCGACAGTTTTCAGCTGCTTTAGATCCTTCCCTCCTTATTGTGTACAAAGACGTACTTTTGGCAAAATTCTTCCCTTTTTAATTACGTGCACAGTAATTCATGGACTCCCACTTGTTTCTATACCACTTGTGCATCAAATTATGTGACACTACAGATAGAAATACGAATAATTTTGTTAATTATGATTAACATGTAACAGTTAATCATAAAAGTCTACTCTTACAAGGAATTCTTCTATTAGGATAGTCTCTGAGCACCGAATTCTTTCATTTTCTAAGAATTTTTAACTCTCTTGAGAGCTAAATCATTCGATTTCAGGATAATTATTGTCTTCCAGATCACTAATTAGCTTGAAATTGCTCACTCTCTAATTAATTATTATATAATATTTTCAGAAATTTAATTTCATTCTTCCATCTGTATACTATTTGTTCAAGGAATGTAGAATCGTTGTTACTTATCTAAATATATAAAATTACTTGTCCTGACTGACTGACTCACTGATTCATCATCGCCCAGGGCAAACCGCTTAACCTAAGGAGGTGAAATTTGGTACACAGTTAGGGTACGTCATAAAAACGCACACTAAGAAGGGATTTTTCGAAATTCCCCCGCGGGGGGAGAGGGAGAGGATTAAGGCTTAACCGGAAAAACGGCTTCTACTGTACTATTTTAGATGCGATTTTTTGTTTTTATCTGCGTTTTAATAGGGTATGCCATGGGAATGCAAAATAAGAAGGGATTTTTCGAAATTCCCCCGCGGGGGGAGAGGGAGAGGATTAAGGCTTAACCGGAAAAACGGCTTCTACTGTACTATTTTAGATGCGATTTTTTGTTTTTATCTGCGTTTTAATAGGGTATGCCATGGGAATGCAAAATAAGAAGGGATTTTTCGAAATTCCCCCGCGGGGGGAGAGGGAGAGGATTAAGGCTTAACCGGAAAAACGGCTTCTACTGTACTATTTTAGATGCGATTTTTTGTTTTT